CTGTACTTTTCTGCAGGTTGCCCTGACTCTGGAGCTCTATGTTTCTGATGAGCAGTCACCAGCCACATCAACCTGCCCAGTGTTTGTTTGTTTGTTGTATCTTGTTGCTCTTCTTTTCTTTTCTTTCTATTCTATCCACTCACCCCAACCGGTCGAGGCAGAAGACCGCCCACCAAGAGCCGGGGTCTGTCGGAGATTTCTTTCATTAAAAGGAGTTTTCCTCCCCACTGTCACCAAGTGCCTGCTCACTGGGGATTTGTTGGTTTTTTTCTCTATATTATTAATAATAGTAAGGTTTAGACCTTTGTAAAGTGCCCTGAGATAATTGTGGTTCTAAATTGGCACTATACAAATGATTCTGAATTGAATTGAAATGAACTGAAATAGTATTCTGATTTTTTTGTATGCTAACTGCAAATTCAGAGTGCTATAACAATTAGCTCATAGTATACAATTAGAGGGCCTATGTTTAAAATATTTCTCACTCTGAGAAGGTACACCAGTGTTAGATTCAATTCAGGTCCATCAAAATGAACATTTCTTCTCCAGTAAATGGTAAACTGGAAACGAACCGAGCAAAATGCTCATGTTTCTCAATGAAAATACAAAGACTTGAAACAGGTGATTTTGATAATTACTTCATAACTCAGACAGGAGGTTGTAGTATTTGGTCTGGGAAGAATGAAACACATTCTTTGCACTCCATGTTGGAAGGAAAATAGTTTCAGAGACAATCACATTGATGTGGATTAAGGTTGTTAGCCCACTAGTCTCTGTAACATAACAACAATGGACTGGGTGCTAAAAGAAGAAGAAAGCCAGAAGAAGTGAATGCAGGCCATTTAGTGGTCAGCAAACTGGGCTCTGATAAGATCACTATAAATCATCACTAACTGTGTACAGTTTAAGAGTTGTGAGACCAACAAGCAGTCGACACAGACACAAAGCCACAGTTTCACACTTCCTGGACACTTTATACATCGACCTCCACTGTGTATAAAGAAGGGGCGTGGTTAGAGGCAACAAGCTTTGTAGTGGCCCCTATTGTTTGGCCTGAGCTGACTGTGGAGAGCCTTTCTTGGCCCCCTGGGGGTGGGGGGTGGGGTGGGGTTGTGCGTTGCATCGGCCTGGAATTAGTATTCTCCTACTGTTCTCCAAGGAGAAGCACACCCCCACTTCCCTTTGTCCTCAATTCTCCACACATGAAACGCAGTCTCAATATTTCTTAACTTAGTTTTAGTTTATTTTGCAATACTGAAACTTTCTATTTGATTTTAGCTGAAACATCACTAGGCAAATTCAGTTACTAATAATTTTAGTCTATATTATTTCCAAAAAATAACCTAAAACATTTTTTTTACTTACACCAATTCATTATTATTACTACAAATGAATCATTTGGCCTACTGCTGATCAGCAGTTGCAGTAGGCTAGTGTTTTTGGATGAGTTCTTCCTGAAAGCCAGTGGTTTCCTTTAATTTCACTATGTACAGGAACTTAAAAGTTGTTCCAACACTGAAATGGTGTTGTATATTATTGTTGTGTATGAATACAAATGTGAATGCTGACAGATTTGAACAGTCTGTAGCCAACTTAGCCTTCCATGCAACAATAATGAAACCTAGTGTAATCTTTAGCAGGTATTTGCACGCTTTTAAATGGATAAACTAATTTGAAAGATAACTAGACTAGGAAAAAACTTTGGGGGGTGACTTTGTTTTTAAACAAAGGTGGTTAAACTACCAGAGTTTTATAAATTAGGCATACAAAAACAGGGGTATGATCCTTTAAATGAACATCTGCTACTTCGGCCAAAATGTTTTCTCATGTTCCACACACAATCTATTAAAACCAATATATTTTCAATAAGACATCATTTGTAAAGACTGTATCAAACAGGTTGCAGTGCAGTAAGCATCACAACTCACTTGTTCCAGCGCTTTGGGGCTGCTGATTTGTTAATTGTCCAGCCTCGTTAACATCACAGTCATTACAAAACAAAAGGAAGGAAGAGTTCTGACACCCCTTTTACTGTGCAATCAACTCAGAGGATAAGGGGGCAAGCATGGCAAGAATTTGGCCACTTAGATCGGGGAGCAAATGTTTTGTAAAAGCCACATTTTCCATAAAGGAAAGGACATGCTTGGAGTCCTAATGATATTTTATTTAATTTTCTTGCTGGAGGCATCCTCCCTTTCCTCTCCATTCTCCCATTGTGGGCTTCCAGATTTCTGCCGCTGCGCGTCCTCGGCCACATGTGTCATCATCTGAGCCCAGAGCAGACAGAAGATAATGGAGGGATGGGATGGAGAACAGCCTTCTATTTCAGTCCTAGCTGATCGGCATGGAGATGCTGACATTTCACCCTACCGCTTAATTACTGTTGCCATGGCAGCAGAGTGCTGTAAAGGCCAGTAACGGATTTAACACGCGGACTCAATTTGCCATGCAGTTTTCACAAGCACAGATGCTGGAGCCGTTATGAACGTGATCACATATCAGCTGTATGATGATTAAAATAACACCACAGCACATAAATTCACGGTCTTAAAGAAAGGCTCTCAGTGAACAGAGATAATGAAGCAGGTTAGATCCAGACATGAAGCTTTCGACAGAGAGATGCTGTAACTTGCCGTCGCAGAGCACACCAAAGACACACTAAACGTTCCGTTCACACAAGCCGAAGCGGAAAGAAGGCGTCTTACCAAAACTTTTCTCCCTTTTCTGCATTTGTTTAACCGCTGAAGCAGTCGAAGCACCACCATGCAACCCGGAGCTGCCTGATCCGGAGAGCAGCTGTCTGTGGGCAGACTGGGATCAGGCTTTGTTATAGAGAGAACAATCCAGCACGGCGATCAGTGAGGACTGAAAAGAAAGGGGAAACACCGACCACCAAAACGTAGGCGGAGGAGCTAAAGCGGAGTGTTATTTGCCGTCGGGCGTCACACGCCGTGTGAGAGCACGTTTATCACCGTTCGGAGCTGCGGGTGCAGGGAGATGCAGGCAGCGAATGACAGGATGACAAAGAGATGATTCCCCTCCGCGGCGCAGCGACCATCTAATCCTACTTGCCACCTAATCACAGCGGATCCTGTTGCGCGCCGCTTCACTAATGAGCGCTTTGACTTGCCACCAGGCATCATGCACGACAACAGGGACAGTTGCTCAGTCCCTTCTCCCAGGATCACCACCGGAACACTGAATCTGCTCTTCCAAAACTCGCAGTGTTACTCATATTCAGACTATTCACATTTCATAGTTCTGCATTCATGACATTTAAATAAATTTCAGCCTAATGATCAGAAATATTTATATAGCCTACAAGCAAAGACGGCGATTTCAAAATGTAAGGAGGAAATGCCAAAGCCTGCTCACTCACCTTCTTCAACAACTCAGCAGAAGCTTGAATCCCAGCTATAGACCCGTATGAGCAGAAAAAGTTTATCAAGCTGGCACTGCGCACTGAACCGCGCCGATCTTCAGGACGGAAATAACGAGCTCCATATGGATTAGAGCGACCAGTTAGGATACTACACAGCTACAGGTGTTCATTCGTCCGTCGTGGAGCACCAAGACAGTGCATCGGTGTCTGAGTGATGAGAAACGGGGGAAGTCTAGCCTTATTATCTCCAAACTCCCAGTCTCTCAATGGTGAGTCATTACACTGCCACGATAAGGTCATTCACTTATTACAAGCCGCTCCACTGTAACGGAGAGCATGGATCGCGCGCGCCCCGAATGCCCTTCAGTCTGGGAGCAGTGGGTGCGCGCAGACGAACTGCGCTCATTACATTATAGGGGCAGAAACAAGAGTACGTTTGTTTTGCAAACGGAGCAGCTGGTACATCAGGACAAGTTGTTATCAGATTTCTTTTTAAAATTAATTTAAGGTGGACTTAAACAATAGGCAGCTCTCCAAAACCTACACGTGAACTTAACCCATGCACCATGATGGAAACCAACAATTTAGTTCCTGCAGTCAGACTGATGGTTTTATGAGCTGACTTAACTATGACTCTTGAGTATAGTAGGAGCCCTTAATTAATGAACCTTAAAATAATTATTCCGTGTGCAAAAGAATGTAAAGATTCAGTCAACCATTAGATCATTGACGTTTTTAGTTAAGTTAATGCAGTGTGCAGTGACAGATCAATCTGAGAACACAAACAATATTACAGTGCAAATGAAGTGGAAACAGATCTAATATGGACAATTAAACCAGTCCTGGCTGAGGTCACTGGTTCCTCTTTCTTTGACTTTCTTTGTGCAGGCACTCACAGGTTTGTGAGAGACATCACCATCAGATGTTTGTGGTGTCCAGAGCTCCAACGTGGCTCCATCTCCTCGCCATATTCTTTGTATAAATCATTCATGTAATTAGAGGATGGTGTTGGTCTCTGCTTGTTATTGCAGCAAAGATTACAGTCCCAATTTCAACTAGATAACTCTAAAATGAGGCCCATGTGTTAGGCCCCCCACACCTCCACTCCCCCCTGCTCTCTTCTGACTCCCTATCACATACAGCTACTCACAGCCTGACAAGTGTACATAATTCCTTTGAGGTGTGGGGGTGGGGGTGAGGTGGAGGAGACAAGTCAATAGTTGGCATTCCAGCCTAAAATTCAGCTATAATGAGATGGGTCATAAAATGCTCTACGCGCCATTATGAGTGATGAGATGCATTAAAGTTGACAGGGTATTACCTGCCAGTAATTAGGTTTTGTCATGGATTGAATTATTTCAAGGCGGCCTATCTAGGTAATCATGCAATTTGCAGCAGAGTGTGTAAAGTGTGTGTGAGGCTGCCACCTCTCTTCCACTGCCCTTCCACTTTCCTTTTACTCACTGTGTTCCACCAATTATTCATCCATATGAATGGAAGATGGGGACAAAAGGCAGTGGTGAAGGTGGAAGATAGGGGAGATGGTCACGTGGCGCAGATCAAGTCTGATCATTGAACAGAAACAGCGCTTAGAAAGACTCCAGTATAGATGAGAGGAGCGTTATGTTTATATTTAACCTCAACCCCTTTGCTGTCATGAATCAAGAAATAAAATGACAGGGAACCTGCACAAGACCTGAAAAGCACAGCCTCAACACCAGCGGCAGCTCGTTTCACCACTAGACTGTCTGATTAACAGAGGATGAAGCCTCTTTGAGGAGAACCCTAATGCATTTTGATGTTACATGCTCAATAGCTATGTTGGCTGTGTTTATGTCTGAGTTCACCTGCCACTTAACACACAGACATCGCTCTGCTGAAAGCATTTAAACTCACAACCCAGAAACACGCACTGAGTGAACACGTACCTTTAAGTACAGCCAGGGATGCCCAAAAAAATGCTGCAGTAGTTTGTATCTTCTGTGTTCTCTTTGAAACAAAGTGCCCGCAAGGTAGCCTTCTTAGAGCTGATTCCACTGTCTAAGGAAAACTTGGTGACGAGAGTTAAACATCAGTTGCTTCTCTGCTCATGTTGTTGGGATGTCAGATGTCACCTTAAACTCGGCTCCCCCTGTGACTCTGTGGGTTCTGGACCCCAACTCACAGGGTGTCTTTCTCCCCCTTGCTGCTTCCTCACCTTCTCCCACCCTGGTATGCGTGTGTGTCTCTCTGGTTCTCTGGCAGGGAAAAGCGGTGGAGAGCCGAGCCTCCTCTCCTATTTAAGCCCCTCCATCAGGTCCCCAGTCAGCAACACACTCCAGCTCATCCAAGAAGCTGACAAGCACCGTTAGGGAAGGCAGCGCATGTTGCTCTAATGGACCTCATTAAGCTCTACTTACAGATGTTCTCTTAACATAATTGATCTGCAGCGAGTTGAGAGGACGGCAACCTATTCCCCAGCCCCCAATTATGGCCCGGTAATTAGATCCCCAACCTCCAGTTCTCCACATTCACCCTTCTAATATTCTGAAATATCAAAGTATCTCTTTCTCTCAAAGCGCCTCACCACCACCACCACCACAACCAACCCCTCCCCCTCCCACCCACAAGACACTATTGACAGTCAGATCTGCTAACCTTTGTAGTGTATCCAGACTTAGCAGTGCACTCATTCGAATTGACAGAGCTCACTCACTCTTCTATTCCTCCTTTCCCTCTCCTTGCCTTTTCTCTACCCATTGGGAGACAGAGCAAAGAAAGACGGAGTGAATGACACAGATGGAGAAAGAAAGAGAGTGGACGATAAAAAGTAAGTTAGTACTTTCTATAACAAGTTGTAACAGTAACATCTGTCAGGGGAGAATAGTTTTTTTTCTCAGTGTCTTTTATCTTAAATACTGCCTCCGATGGCAACTTTGAACAGAGAGGTGGGGGGTGGGGGTGGGGGATGCCTTTATAATGCCAATCAGTGCCACTCCTATCACAAATCTAATTAAGCTGTGTGCTAAAAGTGCTAAAACAAAAAGCACCTGGGGAGTTAATATTAATACTATCATGCTTTTGCACTTTAAAAATTAGGGAAATTTCACACTGATGTATAGAAAACAATTTGAGATGGATTTTCTGAGCAAGTATTGTTAGATAAGATATTCTCACATCTTTATTTCAGCATAGATGTACTGCACAAACATTTCTGGATGCACAACCCAGACTGAAATGTTTTTCTCTGTGATTGCTCCTGCAACAGCACACACCAGGATTTGAAACGACAGCACTTGGGCCCGCAGAGCTTGACCAGAGGACAGGTTTGTTCCAGTGTAATGGTGACAGAGTGCATTCTATTTGCAAGAACAGGTGTATGGGCTATTGTTTAATAAGGTGTCTTTTTCTGTCTTTGAGCCCAGTTTAAAGCTGTTTAGGTCTGATTTATTCTAGATTTGGTAGCAAAAGACAGTACACAAGCGTGTACAATGATTACTTCATAAGTAGTAGTATTTGTGAAAAGGAATGACCATCACTTTCTTCATAAGATGTTCCTGATTGTCTAGAAATCTGCTGCTATAAGGAGCATAGATGACTCGTTTATCACCTCTTAATTCTAGCTCCTCTTTTTTGTGCACCCCCAAGTAAAGTGACATGTCAAAATGAGTAGGTACATCATTACTTCATGGATATCTGACCAGTACTTACACCTTTTTTGTAGCCCAAGTAAAGTGAAGCATTATACTGAGTAGCTTCTCATTACTCTGTGATTATCTGACCATTGCCTCTAAAGTAGTGTGATACCTCATATTGAGCAGTTAGGCTACTAAGAAGTTCTTCATTACTCAATAATTATGAGTATTTGGCTTGGAATTCACAAGTAATAAATAAATAGCAAACAAGAACCAACATTATTTATTCATCATACTCAGTCCACATACGTACAGTACATAAGCTGTCACATCCATACGACACCAATTCCTTAGAAACAAAGAAGCAGGTGAAATGAATGAGGGAGGACTTAGTAAAGTCCTCATGGTATTACTGACTGAGTGTTTGGATGTGAATATTATTGTATGTGCTCAGGATATGATGATTACAAAATGTGAGAATCCTGCTGTCTCTGGTTTGTTACTGTGAATTCCTTTGTTAAAAAGAAAAACTGCATTTTACTACTCCCAGTTTGTACTATTAGTTTTGTATGATGATGCACAAAGGGTTAAGTCATGGTCAGATAATCATGAAGTAATGAGGGATTACTCAGTATGATGCTTCACTTTACATGGGGGTTACGTAAAAAATGTAAGTAATGGTCAGATAACCGTGAAGTAATGGGGAGCTATGTAATAATTGCTCAGTTTGATGAGTCATTTTACTTGGGTTTTATTTTGACATTAGTTCATGTGTTTTGCCATCCTCAGTTTTACTTGGTCTTTGAATAACCTCTATTGTGTTTCCTGTTATACTGCTTATTTTGCATTGTTTGCACTATATGTTGCATGTTAATACTGCTTATTTTGTTATATTACACAACCTTATGTTGGTTTACTGTTTACTTGCCCCTTGCATGGGGATATGTACATCCATACTGAGAGCCGATGTACCAGAGTCAAATTCCACGTGTGTCCGACACACCTGGCCAATAAAGCAGATTCTGATTCTGATTCTGTTGCTCACTGTCCTGGCCCTGTCAACCTTTACCACCTCACCTCCCACAGTTAGAATTGCTGGTTCACCTATGTATCACATTATGTTTTTGCTCCTGTTTTTCCTCACCTGTGTCTTTTCCTCTCATGTGTCATCTATTGTTTTAGGGACACTGGGCTCATGTATTTTCATTTACCCCCTCTGCATCTGGTTTGGGATGTATTTTGTTCCCACGGTTTGTTAGTTTCTGTTAGCTTATGCTCTTAGTTTGTGTGTGGGCTGCTCCCTGACCTGTTTTGTTTGCTGATTCTCCTTAGTTGTTTGTGTTTTAAAGGTAGTCAGGTTTTGAGCATATTTTTACATTTAGTATGCAGTTATTCAGTATGCACCTCTGTTTTGTTGTTGGTTCATGTTTTTGTTCTTAGCTTTCCTTGCTGCCTGTTTTTTTTACAGTAAGTTGTTTAATAAAAGCTTGTTTTATCACCTAGCCCCTGTGTCTGTGTCTGCGTTTGGGTCCCATTAAAAGTTAAACCATAACACTCCCTCCTCAAACATGTTCCTAATTCTGACAAGGTTTCAAATGAACAGTTGCAATTTTGCAATAAATTGCAATAAATTTTGCACCAACTTTTTCCTGATGTTAAATTTCAGCTGCAGTGCCCTCTGCTGCAGTGGTGGTAAATTGGGCGCTGAGGGTATTAGTATAAATTTTCATTGCCTCCTTCCTTTTTTTTTTTGCTGAAAGGGAACGCCTTAATATATATCGCATTAGACTAAAAGTGCAAGTTGCTGCAGTGCCTCCTTTCTTTTTCTCTGACGCAAAACTTTACTGCAACTTCAAAGTAATTCTGAGCACAAGCAATTTCATTAAATATCCCTGTAGAGTTTTAAAAAAAATTAGGCTAAAGTTAAAATTAGCAGTAATGAGTTGCAATCAGGTTTAAAATGATGAAGGATCAGGTAGAGTAAGATATAAGGGCCCTCAATCAATAGTGTGTCACCCTCAGAGTAGGGCTTAAAAGTTTATTTCTGAAGCATTCTACTCTTGTTGTCAGTGAAGAGAACTACTACTAATGAACAAGTGTGATATCACTGTTTTACAACATTCAGAGCTGGAAAGTCAAAGTTAAGGAAATGTGTTGAATTTGTTTCTGACAGTTGAAGATTGTAGTTTTAGACAGTGTAAAGCTGAAATGCCAAAATCAGCACCACTTGTCAAGTGAAGGCTTTATGTGTATAGGCAAAAAGCTGGTAAATGAAAATGACACAATTATTAAAAGGTTTAGTAATAATTCTGTAATAGACTAAGTTTAATCAAAAGCCACTCATAATGAGACTCACCTGTGTTAAATTATCTTTATCTTCCCTGTCCAATAACATTTTAAATCCCCATAAGTGAGCTGGATATCTGTGAGGAACATTATTTTCAAATAAAAGTCATGATCTGCTTTCATTTTCTCCTGAGCCATGTGTGGCTCTGGGCCACTTAATCACTAATTCAAGGAAGATGTAGTTATCATTCACAATCACTTGAGTGTTAATACAGTGATTACATTTTCAATTCACATAAATGATGCAAGGCAATGATTTTAATGTCTGCTATCAATAACACCAGCAATCCAGCTCTTTGCATAATTGTGGCTGGGTTTTCACTAATTCACACTGAGTGGTAGGGAAAAATCTGTACATTATCAGTGATGTGCATTTATAGAAATGAATCCCTGCCAAAATGTTTCAGGGCATACAAACCACATTTTGAACACTATTCAGTTTGTAACTCAGCATTTGAGACTGTGTAGGCACAGAACTGTAAGTGCAGAATCAGACTTGAGAGTGTAATTCTGTCCATGCGTGCACTGAGTTTACACTCAGATTTCTCCTTTGGATTTTGTGTTAAAAGGTCACCACCAAGAGTTGTGAAAGCACATAAGACAAGTTTTGAGCACTATTCAGTTTGCACATCAGAATCCAAAAGTGCACAGGCATAGATTTGTAAGAGCAGAATCACATTCTTGACCTGCCCAAACACATTATTACTTAATTGTTGACTCGTTAATCAGGATGTTAACACTATAAAACATAGGTTACAAACTCAAGGCCTGCGGGCCAAATCCGGCCCACCGGATCATTTTATGTGGCCCTTGAAAGCTTATAATGTGTATGGTTGTCTTATAATAAAAGTCTATACTAATTGAAAACAGCCATCCCTCGTAGGCTAGTGGTTAAGGCACAACGCTCTCACCGCTGAGGCCTGGGTTCAACTCAGGGTTGCGTCAGGAAGGGCATCCGGCGTAAAACATGTGCCAAATGTCAACATGCGAGTCATCAGTGTGACGATTTGCTGTGGCTACCCATAAACGGGAAAAGCTGAAAGTGACTTTCTACTAATTGAAAACGGACACTGACCATAAACTACATGTCCCACAATGCATGTCAATTTCAGGACCTGCAAAGTATTGGCATCCTGCCACAAGATGGCAGTGTTTAGTCTTCAGCATTTAACCAGCAACTTCCCAACAAGTGGAAATGAGAAATACCAATAATTAATCCCAAAATGTCCAAGGAAAGAAAGGTTGATGCAGAAGGAAGGCAATTTAACGAAAGGCGGGAAAGCAAATATATGTTTCTGCTGCCAGGAGAAAACCCGTGTGTCTTTTGTGTCATGAGACAGTGTTGGTGGTGTACGACAACATGGATCAGCATTTTGAGACCAAACACGGAGCTAAGTATGCTAAATTTAGCCTCCGAGAAAAACAACAATTTGTCAAACAATTAAAAGACAGACTGCAGTTGCAGCGGGAAATGTGCAAAAAAAAACTACAGCAAAAATTATGCTGGCTTGATGTTATTGTTGAGGAAAAAATATGTTGAATTGAATTTTTCAAATTTATTTTATTGAGAAAAAAGTTTTTGCTTTTTCTTCATGTTCATATTTCTTGTTAAATCATTGTCCGTTTTAGTCTGTTCAATAAATGTTAATCCTGTTTGGCCCACAGCTGTGACTGTGGTTTAATTTTCAGCCCTTGTGTGATTTAACTTTGACACCCTTGCTATAAAAAATACAGGTGAGTACCTCTTTAATAAAACAGTGGAAGTTCGCCTAGTGGGTGGAGGAAGAGTGGAGTGGATTTTGAGGATGAAGAACTGATGCCTCTTACAGGCAATAGAAGAAATGTGATGCTACTGATTTGGTAACTGTCCAGGTCTGGCTACGACACTCGAGGTGTTTCTTCTCTCACTTTCTAGCCATAGAGGATATTGCCTGCGATGCTGTTGCCAGATCAGATATGCAGTATGATGCAGCCTATTTATTTTTTTCTTTTCTGTTTTTTTTTTTTACTGTATCTTGAATGGTCTTCCACTGCAGAATCTTCATATAGTGAAAGGCTATGGGTGTGTACTATGAAGTGTCTTTGTGTGTGAATTTTCAATTATGCCACAGGTTGAGATATTTGGGTGCAGACTGGAGTGTGTGTTTCTTCAAATACTGTTAATGTACTCTACATTAGCACCCATTTCTACCACCAGTGTGTTGGCATGAATAGATTAAAAGACAAACAAACAAACAAACAATCACAAACTTGTTTAACATCCAGAGCCCCCTGAGGTGCTAATATTGTTAGTGGTGAAAGCAATCCTTATAGATATGAATGAAGAGATCTGCGTATTATCACACCTTTGAAATAGCTGAACATCTTTAACAGACTGACATCAACAGGATGAGTGGGGGATGTAACGGGGAAATTGGACACAGGTGTGTGTGATGGGAGAGTGTGTGGTAAACACAAGGAGCATATGTAGTAATAATAATAATAATAATAATAATAATAATAATAATAATAATCTATATAAAACTTTTTCCAGCAGTTACAAAGTGCTTCCCAAATCTTAACCAACATATTCAAAACTATCATATATAATAAAATAAAAGGTAAAATCAATATATAACTTACTTAAAACAACATTTAATAACACAATATAATAGGCAATACATCACAAATAACAGACCATAAATTTAGTAACATATCAAAATGACAGCTATTAGATCCCCTACAATTTACTGGCCTACTCTTAAATTTAGTAAAATGCCATAGAATAAAAATGAGTCTTGATTAGTTTCAACAACTGACAACATTGTGGTAGTGCATTTCGCAACTTGGGGACACAATCGAGAAAGCCCAATTGTCCCTATTTTTTAATCTCGATTTTGGATCATAAGAGCCTACGGAAACTTAAAAGATCTGCTATATAACTTGGGGACAGGCCTTTTAAAGCCTTGAAAGTTAATTGAAGAATCTTAAATTTGATTCCAAAAACCACAGGTAGCCAATGCAAAGAAGCCAAAACAGGTGTCGCAACCTTTTCGTTGTGAGGCAACAGCGCTAACCACCGTGCCATCGTGCTGTAATATGTTCTTGCTTATGTGTGCCTGTTAAAAAATGGGCAGCAGCATTTTGGACCAACTGAATATGGGCAAGAAAGGACTGATTTACACAGAAGTACAAGGCATTACAATAGTCCAGGTTGCTGGGATAAATGGATGAATAGTCTTCTCCAAATCCTATTTCAACAAAAAATGTTTAACTATAGACAGAAGTCTTAACTGGAAGAAGCTTGCTTGAATAACAGAATTTATCTTTTTATCTAATTTAAATTCCCAAAAGGAAGAGAGACTTTTCATGAAAGAAGAGCATTCTGTTGTGAGGACCACCACTATTGTGTTAGGGAGGGTGTCGTTCACAGCTATTTAGGGCTGCCGGCAACAAAGACAGCAAGATAGAGGAGCAGTTCCAGTGTGAGGAGGGGAGGCTGGATGCCTCCTGTAGTTAGCTAGGAATGGAGCTTAGGAGAGTGCAGTGGCCACC